AATAATTTCACGCAAAGCTACTCAGGGGCTATCTGCGCTAGCCGTCCCTAATTTTGTAGTGTAAGACTAGAGGGAAGGCAACTAGTCATCACCACCCACCGCCAACTCTTGGGCTACTCTTTTACCAACGAATAGTGGGATTGACCGTCACATTATAACGCCCCTACGGCTGAAAGGGCGAGCATGTTTGGTGTGACGGGGATTCGAACCCGCGATACCGCAGATTGCGAGTCGAGCGCCCTAACCACTTGGCTATGCCGGGCCTACAGAATGTGTCAAAAATATTTCTGTCACACACATGATAATTGTTTTATAAAAGTGTAAGTTTCAAAATGGTAAAGATATGAGTATAATAAACTCATTAAAAACAACATTGCAACACTGTTTGAGACCCAGTAGGAAATATGTCTCTTGGAACAATCTTATGTAGATCTCTTTTTCTTAATCCATTTTAATTAAAATTCGGCAGATAGCCTGAGTAGTTTTACCATAAATACAAGTACAAATAGGACTTAACCAATCATCTGATATAATCTATTTTGCGTATGCAAATAAATGCAGTGCTTTACAAACTTGAAACGTTTAAGATTTGCATTCAACCAGAATCTGTAATTGAGGTAGAGTCAATCAAGAAAGAAACTCTTTAAATGACAAATTGGTTATTTCCTAATGACATAGCACTAATTCGTTTTATATTTTTTCACACACTTTGTTATAACCTTAATAAATAAACATTGTTTTTGTAAATAAAATTTTTTCATAAACATAACTTTTTTTTATCTTCTAGTAATCACGTATTCCCCTTTTTTTTTCATTTTAAATTGCCTTTTCAGGTCTTCATAAATGTTCTAGATATTTCCTTGTGCCTCAAAAACATTCTGTATTAGAATTGCATAAATGTGACCCCCCGAGACAAAATACACTTGTTTAGTTAAGTTCGTGATACACATTACATACTTTTCGGGCAAATCAATGAACATTTGAATAATAAAGGAAAACCTTAATAATGATTTATGTATATTTATTGAAATATATTTTAATACCACATAATAGTAATAATGCAAAACGATATTAAAAAAATATTTTTTTTCGTCCTTCTTGTTTTGCGTAAACTATGATTTTGGATTAAAACAGGTAAATACGATATGCATCTTTCTATAAGACCACAAACTTTGCATTACCATCTGAAATAAGTTAGAGTGAAAATGAAATATTTCCTTTATATAACTGGCCTGGCATAACTTGGTGGTTCGGGTACTTGACTCGCAACCTGCGGGTTCGAATCTCTCCTCCGAACATGCTCGACATTTCAGCTGGTAGGGCTTTATAATGTGACGGTCAATCCTACTTTTCGTTGGTAAAGAGTAGCCTAAGAGTTGGCGGTGGGTGGCGTTGATTAGCTGCCTTCCCTCTTGCCTTTCATTGCTAAAGTAGGGACGTCTAGCGCAGATAGCCCTCGTGTAGCTTTGCATGAAATTCAACTAAACAAACAAACAAAACCTTTATATATGACTAATAATATCATTGTCTTCAAATTAATCTTTATATGATAACTGTATAACTGTAAAGGAAGTATTCTAAGTTACAGGATCTGTGAAAATAATACAACCATTACGTTTGTTTGTTTGTTTTTTAGAGAAAACTGCCCCATACTACCTGGAAGTACGTACCATAAGAGGTTTGACCTTCTTCCTGACATTTCGAACAACAGGGGAAAGTATGGTATCTTTACAAATCGTTGTAGTTGGGTGGAAGATGAAAATCTAGCTTCAAGTGTGATGTAAGGATTTTTGCATATGGTGAAAAATCTTCATCACCTATTTGCTAAATGAACTTGTAGTGAGGTATAAGTTGCTATCATCAAAGTTTGAGTTGTTGCTTATTGAAACAATACAATAAAATTTTATAAACAGGTATAATACAGTCTTCTATAAGTAACCGAACTTATAAAGAAATCGTGGAAACTACCTGATTCAAGTATCCACATCTTACTGACTTAAGGGTTAAAAGTACATACACACGTTTAAATATGGCGAAAACAAATCTAGAAACACAGACCTTTATTCTTAACGTAAGACCATACAAGTCACAAAATACAAATTTTGGTCTTAATACTGCTATTATTAAGTTTAAAGAAGCACATTTACCCAGAAAACGATGAGTAGTAATAATTTTGTTTAGAACAGTTGCATGCAGAAATGTCATCAGTCTAAATACGTGATGGATGAAATAAAGCGAACAACTTTCGAATAAGCCATCGTTGTTATCAAGTTCTTGTAAAAACGCCCATTTATCTTGATGAAACGTTTTCCATTTTTAAGAACAATAGAAAAAAATCAACGAAGCACAGATTATTTCTTGTTCTTCCTATAGCTTCCCTGGATAATGAACAGCAACTTGTATAATTGTTTGGTAATTTTGACGTAGAATGAAAAATATAATCAGAAAATACACTGTAAATAGTTTAGTGAATCTAAAAATCCGACAAAGTTAAAATGCGTACATGTGCACAAAGGTTTAAATGTCTGATCTGTAAGTCTCCAGATGAGAAAGCTTTATTTATAGACTTTCAATGCTAAAAACATGGGTTTGATTCCCCGCGATAGACACAACAGATAGCTCAATGTGGCTTTTTCCTAAAAATAAACAACCAACCAACTGATCTTTAAAGCGTTCTTAAATACAGTCATCGTTTTAAAAATGAGCTGCTTTTTTTTAATTCAAAGTTCCTTAAACACAAAAGCACAAAAATTATAACAATCGCTAGATAAAATCAGACACAAGTTGTATGATTAAATATATGGGTAAGTTAAATGTCCAAGCATGTGCAATAACGTTTCAAAAAACACAAACATGGCTGTGAAATCATCTTATGATTATTTATAAAATCACACTTGCTGCAATCTCATGGCAAACATTTTGTTGCTTAAGTAATTAAACAATATTCTCCAGTCAGTAAAGCTTGTGGTTTGAAATATGCATTCTGTGCAATCATATGCTAGGATTTAAGTAAAAGATCACAGAGAATGTGCTTCCAGACAGTGAAAGTTACCAACTATTATTTACGAAAGTCAACAAAATATCAACTGTGTAGAATACTAAAAAGCTAATCGTTAAGTATTTTCAGCTACTAGGTGTTTATTTTCAATTTTGTAGATAAAGTGGTAAATCAGAAATACACCATTTCGTCAAAAATATTTGATATATAAGATACATATATACATGATTTTAGTTTTATACACGAAAGTTTTATTTGACCTATATGTAAAACAAAATATTCAATATATTACGTTTTAATCATTAAAGAAGAAATATATTATTTCACTGAAACCTGGAGTAACTTTTTATGCAACATCATTACTACACTGAACTTCAAATTACGAGAAGTTAAAGTGTTTTATTCTTAACACTTGGCTACAATATAAAGTTTATGTTGTCTTCATATAAATTGCGCTATTTTCAGAAATATTTATAATTATGGATAATATTGCATTTTACATTTGATTTTTTGACATTCCAGGATCCCTGAGAAAGATGTGCAGGATTTTTTCGGGATTCTGATATCTTATCAAATAAAAGTCAAGTTGTATGTCGGATCCCTGAGCCCACTACCTGGGTAAGTTAAAACTTACCCCTGGTAAGTTATCAACAGTTGTGTTTTCATATACAGCTACCTTAGGATATTATTTGTTCGGTTATTCATTTTCTTCGGTATTAATTCCCTCTTTTAATTTGTTTAAGAGTGTTTGCATTTCTTATAAATATCATATTTTATAACACACTGTTCCAAGCATTTGTAGTTGTATTTACTTTAATAAACATGTAGCTTGGAGTGTCAAATTAATTGCTTAACCAAGCTCTTCCTCTATACATAATTTTTAATTACATCATAATGCAACAATCTTATTTAAACCTATGTATGAAATCTCAAATCAAATAACTGTTATTATTTTGTTCACAGAAGTGACGTCAGTATAGTTTTACCCTTTCTTCTGATGCATCGTAACCCAGCCAGCACACAAAATATTGACATTTTGCATTCGGATCACAGCTCACCTATTATGCTGGTTAACTCAACCATCTATAAGAAAACTGATCCTAAAAAGGACAAAGCCAACAAGTACACTTGCACTGAAGATATCATCTTTGACGACCTTGCCCAAGTCCGAGTCCACCACGTTCCACTTATCATGTAATTTGTTATTAAACAAGGAAGCCACTTGGGGAATCGTTCAGTTATTCATACAGTATTAATCTCTACTAACTAACTGTTTTATTTGAATGATTTAGGTATGTGTTTCTTGTATGTAACGCTATTGTAAATGAATTAAGTAAATAAAGTTATTATTTTGTTCTGAAATCATTCAAGAAATAAATAAACAAAAGGTTTCAAAGTTACATTTTCAAACTGAAAGACGTGCTATGCACTTCCTTTCAACTCAAATACGTCAAAGAAAGAAAGAAGATATGAAAAATAACTCCAATATTTTATAGATGAAAGGTTTGTTTTGTTTGTTTAAAGTTAATTACAACGATACATAATGGGCTTTCAGTGCTCTGCCCCTGGTTGTTAGTGTTGTAAGTTCGCATAAATACCGTTGTTGGCTGGGAGACTAGATGAAAGGTTGTCAGTTCCTTGCTAACAATCACTATTGGAATTCTTTTATCGTCAAAGTACAAATACTGAATAAAACACTTGTCAGTAGAAATATAATCAAAAATATATATATTTATATTAAATCCAATCTATAATTTTTGGTGGCTACAAAATCGTATATTAGCACAAAGTAATTGAAAATTAAGTTGTTGTTTTTTTTATTATTTACAGATAATGATCTTGAGTAACAACAGCATCTACCCTCACACCCGTGCTCGACGTAAAATAACTTGAACATATTAATCTATCGAAAAGGTCAAAAAATATCCCACGAACGTTTAACTCTTAAAATTTTCAAATATTTAGATTTGAGACATTATTCTATCTAACCCCAATGTAATATTCATTGACATATCTCTCAAACTGTTTTACTTTATTATAGAAACAATTTATTTTCTACGCATTTAATAATACGAATGTGCTGCTACAAATAACCAAAATATTTCTGTCACTGTTCCTCATTAAGTCGGGTGTGGTTAGCGAGATCAGAGTGTGAATGCAAGGGTTCATGGTTCGTTGCCTGTTGCTGCAAAAACGTTTTCTGCAATTTGAAGCTGTGGGAACGATGTAATAATGGCGATCAAATCCCACTATTCATTCAAACAAGAGTTGGTGGTTGGTGTTGTTCACTAGCTACCTGCACTCTAGTCTATCAGTTTAAAATTAGGCCCAGATAGCCATTTCTATAGCTTCGCACAAACATTCTACTGCTTTCGACTTGGGTGTGTACCTATAATTTGAGTATTTCAATGAATTATATTATCCGAAATGGATGTAAACAGTAGGAATAAGCTTATTCGTGCGACCAAACATAAAACAGTTCTAACGTATTTTCTGTTAGACAGTTAGTGTTGAATTAAACACTTATGAAGAAATATTTGACATAGTAAATATTTTAACTATTGAAGAACATAGAGTAAATATTTTAACCTATTGAAAAACATAGAGTAAATATTTCAACTATTGAAAAACATACAGTAAATATTTTAACTATTGAAAAACATACAGTAAATATTTTAACTATTGAAAAACATAGAGTAAATATTTCAACTATTGAAAAACATACAGTAAATATTTCAACTATTAAAAACATACGACAGTTTCGCAGTTTTATTGCTTTTTCCTGAATCAGTTGTTCTTGTTGTTGAATAAGCCTGTTCATTCATGCTGGCACGTGTAAAGATGTTTCGAAACCTTTATACACATACCTTTAGTTAAGGATATGGTCTTATTCAGACATATTAAACTATGTTTCCCCAACAATATCGCTTTCCATTGGATTTTATAATAGTTTGTTTATGTATAAGCAATGGATAAATGTAGGCTCAACAAACGTGACACGTGTATTGTATATATATATAATAGTTTAGAAATAGATAACCTTTCACTCAACAGAAAAACATTCAAATTCAGTACATTAACTTGGGTGTAGAACAGCAATTCTATCAAGATCTCTTATTATCTGTACCTTTGATATTATTTTATCATGATTTACATTAATGATAGTATACTGAATTTCCTTATTTTTGCTTTTTTTAACCAAAGACAATTATCCTTTTCTCACAAATTGCTACAATTTTCGCATATAGTAATACTAATGACATAAAATATTTGGGTTTTTAGTAACAACTTCATTGTACTAACAGGTGTATATGATGGCCAGTAAGCTTTCTCGCCATTTCTTGATTGTCATGTATTCACTCATCAAGATACCCAAATTTTGTTTCGAGTTGAACGTTTTTTTAAACCTGTAGCTTTTATTTTTAATGTGAATCTACTGCTTAATGTTTTATTTATAGTTGTTAAGCAAGTCGTAATTTAGTGAAGTGAAAACATCTACCAAGCTTTCAAATATCTGTTATTAAAACTCAAACTCACTATTCACTCTATTTGGTTTAAAATCTTGAACATTTATATCTTCCATGTTCGATGTGATGTTTAAGTGATAATTCCAGATAACGTCGTCCATTGATATTAAAAATATTAATGATTGACATTTCCTATTGTGAAAATGCCAATTTATTAATTTAAATCTATTCAAGTTGTCAGTTATATCGTTAATTATTTGTTACGACAGTGTCTCACGGCTTAATAAACAATAAAGTATTGAAAGGTTTAATGCCAGAAAAAAACTTTGTATGAAATAGAACGTGTTCAAAGCTCCTAAAAACGGATTTTAAGGAAACTTTCAAGTGATTAAAAATACACAATTCATACTTAAAGATCACATGAAATATGCACGTTTACAACTCTATTTTTTAGATACATGTGTATTTCTTTTGGCAAAATTAATACAACTTCGAAGTAGAACGACAGTGTGATATTAGGCATGCTGTATTTCAAACAGAATCTAATAAAAATACTCTGTCCACTTCTCTGCGATAGTTTAGTGATACAAATGTATGAGCAATAGTTTTGGTTTATTATTTTATTAGAGAGAAACACTAAAGTTAAGCTATGTAAATTTGTAACAAAATTATTTAATTATTTTGTCTTCATTCGCTCTAAAAACACTTGACACACTAAATTTCAGACCTACATTTTTGTGCTATCTTTGCTTTAAAGTCCTTGAAGAACAAAATAAGGTTATTTCTAAAGTGAAAACATATTTGTAATATCTGTAATCTAGTTTTTTAGATAAAGTTTCGCCATCTTAGTGCGGTAATGTGATACCAAAAAAACATTTTGTATTGCATAAAACATTTTTCAATTCTTGGCTATATATAATATCAGCTCTTATTACTTATTTCTTTATTAATAATGAATTAAAAAAAAAGATTGAATCACTTAAACGTTAATAAAACTGTTAGTTAAATGCTGCAAAATTGGGTCAAACTATGTCATGCTTAATTTAGTATATGTGATTTTAAGACAGAATCACAACGACAATAAACATATATTTTATCCCTTTTATATTGTGCTCTTTTAAATTGAGACAAAAATACTTTATTATATAACTAGAACTGTACACAAGTATGAAATTATATATATATTATTCTTTATTTAACAAGGTCACAAAATACTTTAGATATGCAGAACCAATTATTTTTTGTCATCAATACAGATAGGTTATTCTAGTTGAGTCTTTTTTTTTGCATCTTATCAATTAGTAATATAAATAACTAGCCATTAGATCTAGAATGAAATGCACGTAAATTTTTCCAAGTGAAGCTACTTCGTAATGTAAAAAAAAAAAGTTATATTCAGTTAGTATAAAAAGTTTTTCACTTGAAAAATAGTACTTAATTATTAAAAAGTAAATATTTTATCTTCCTTTCCTTCTGTAGCAGCCGCCTACTAAGCTTTTGTCATTTTGAATAGCACATTAAATACCCCCTAACACAATGTTTTGAATTTTTTACTATATGAATGTTCTCACAGACCATATTATGCGGAGAATTAATTCAACTTTCCGTGATAATAGTTTACTTTTCGTCAGTAGAGAGATCTTTTCTATTAGACAAAAAAATAAAAAGTGTCAGGAAAAGAACCAAAAGCCTTAATATTGTCAAGGGCTTTCGAGAGAAATCTCCAAACAAATTCATTTATAAAATACATGATATGCGAGTTCTCCTGAGGCTTCTTCTATAACTGTGTTAACTTCTAGTAAATTCAGAGCAGAATAATTCCTACTAGTGATCTTAGAAAATCGATTTTGTTACTTGGGAAACAAGTTTTTCCTAATTATATATTGCAAAGTGTGAGATTTATCTATGATGCTGATAATGTACTGGAATACTTTCCATTTCAAAAATACCTTAATTACTTGTTGATTACCATGGTAAATTAGATACACTATTGGTAACATAATAAACGAAAAACAAAACGGTTTCAAGAGTAATAAAAAACTCGTAATAAATCAATGCTCGGAATTCTCTTATGAAGTAAACTAATTAAGAGACGATATAAATTAAGAGCTACTAAAAGAATATTATTGTTATTGTCCTTTTACTTATATTTTTGATTTATACTCAACTTTGTTTATCTGTAAACAGAAATGTAACATCGAAAAAAATTATAAGTAAAATAGGTACGAGTGTAATAAAACTACTTACTATGAAAATGCTGATTCAAATATTGAGAAGTATTTAAAAACATGCTTAATCATCTAGTATAAGTGTGTATAAACAATGGTGCTTGAAATTATTCCTACTTGATACACCAAAGTACTTTCAGCATGATTAAAGTTACTTGGTGTATCAATCGACTTACCTCTCAGATAGGAAAACAAAACCCCTCCAATCAGCTGTCTTAGTCAAGTTTGTCAAAATACAAAAAAAAACGGCTATTGAATCCAAACATACATAAATTTTGCTTCGTGTTTTTCTTTCCTGCAGCTATATTGCTACAAGTTCAACTAAGTGATGAACAGGATTTTTAAAACTATTCATGCTACTTGAACTATGTATACAGTTCCAGGAACCACTCAGTGTTCATCCTACGCTTGGATGCCCTACGTTTGGCTGACTCTTTTCAATTGCAAGTATAATTTATAACATCACATCTATACACTGCTGTTTATTAATAGCCCAGTAATCCTTTGACCCAACAGTGCCTTTTCTTCTTACACTAATCAGTAGTATGTGTGTGTGCGTGTCATCTCCCCGTAACTGATCGTCACAATATTTTAACTCTAGCAATTGCCTAAGTCAGGGATTCTCAAACTTTGG